GAATAGAATAGAATAGAATAGAATAGAATAGAATAGAATAGAATAGAAGCTGGAAGGGACCTTGGAGGTCTTCTAGTCCATCCCCCTGCTCAAGCAGGAGAACCTATACAATCTCAGACACGTGACTGTGCAATCTCTTCTTAAAAACCTCCAGTGATGGAGCACCCAAGATTTCTAAAGGCAAGCTGTTCACTGGTTAATTGTCCTCAATTCCTGGTCTTTAATTCCAGGTTGTTTCTCTCTTTGATCAGTTTCCAACCATTATTTCTGGTCCTGCCCTCGGGTGCTTTGGAGAATAATCCAATCCCTTCTTCTTTGTGGCAGCCCCTCAAATACTGAAATACTACTATCATGTCATCCCTAATGCTTTTCTTTAGACTAGTCAGACCCAAAATCCACAGCTGTTCTTCATATGGTTTAGTCTCCAGGCCTTTGGTCATCTTAGTTGCTCTTCTCTGAACAAGTCTCAACATCTTTTTTGTAGGATGGTGACCAAAATTGGTTGCAGTATTCCAGTTGTAACCTTGGTAGGGTTGGCACTAATATTTCATGTCATCTTGAATCTATGCCTCTATTTATACAACCCAGGATTGTATTTGCGTTTTTGGGAACATTGCTGGCTCCTTCAAATAAACATCCACTAGGACTCCAAGGTCCCTCTCACAGTTACTGTTTTTGAGCCAGGTCTAGCCTAAACTGTACTTATACCTTCGGTTTTTCCTGCCTAAATGTAAAGCTTTGCTTTTCTCCATATTAAAATTCATTTTGTTGGATAGGGCCCATTGTTCAAGTTTGTCAAGATCTTTTGGATCCTGAGTTTTCTTCTGGGTTGTTGGCTATTCCTGCATTTAGTATAATCTGCAAATTTGATGAGTTCCCCTTCTATTCTCTCATCTAAGTGATTTATATAGATATTGGAGAGTACTGGCCCTAAGACAGAACCTTGTGATACCCCACTGCTTACATCTTTCCATGTGGGTGTAGTACCATGAAGGACTACTCATTGAGTACAGTTTGCCAGCCAGTTACAAATCCATCTGATGGTGGTGATGCTGTCTATTCCACATTTTTCTAGCTTACCAAGAAGTAGGTTGTGGTCTACTTTGTCAAATGCCTTGCTAAAGTCTAAGTATACTATGTCCACAGCATTTCACTGTTCTTCTAATTTAGTGACTTTGTCAAAGAGTGAAATAAAGTTGTTTTGGCATGATCTGTTTTTAACAAACCCATTCTGGCTGCTGGCTATAACTTTACTTGTTTCTAGATGATCACAGATTTGTTTTTGTTTTTTGTTTGATGTGTGAATAACTAGAAATAAATAAAGTAAAAAATATTTACTTCTTTTTTATCTTTTAGTTTATCAGAGAGATCCTTGTGCAACCATACTGATTTTTTGTTGGATTTCTTGTTTTTCTTTTTCAGTGGTATTGTATTGGACTGGGATTTTGTGATCATATTTTTCAGTGTTTTCCACACTTGTTGAATTGTTTTCCCCTTTAAGATTTTTATCCATGGAATTGTTTTTAGGCTTTGAGCTTGTTAAACCCAGTTCTTTTGAAATTTAAGACCTTGATGGGATTATATTCTATTGCTTGTGTTTGCATTATATTGAATTCCAATATGATGTTGTCACTCTTGCCCAAAGTTCTGGCAATTTCAACTCTCTCTATCACTTCTTCTCTATTGCCAAGAATTATATCCAGCATAGCTAGTTCCCTCCTCTACCTTTCGGAGACAAAGTTGTCAGCTAAGTTGTTAAGAATCTGTTTGCTCTTCCACTTGCTACAGAATTTGTCTCCCAGTTGATATCAGGGTAGTTAAAGCCTCCCAGTATTTCTGTGGTATGTTTCCCTACATACATTTGTTAATTGATTAGCAAAAGGTTTGCGGGAGGCAAACACAATCAGCACCCAAAGAGATGCAGACAGGCCATGCTTTGAACTAGAGAAGGTGGGGAGAAATGGGCCACATATTTGGCCTTGTAGAGGGGTGAAGTCTTCCATCTTTCTGGGCAGAGAAATTGGGTCAGGGCGATGACCGGGAAGCTGGTGCAGTTACAGACTGAGATATATCAGTAAAATACGGTAGATTTCTGCTTGCATGCTGTTTTTAATTAGAGAGATACATTACAAACCTAAAATGGATTACATAGAAAATGTGGAATGAATCTATAGGAATTGATCAATATATTTTGCATCTTTGAATACACACCAGTGGTGGGATTCAAATAAATTAACAACTGGATCTCTGCCCTAATAATTTCTTCCAACAACCAGTTCACCAAACTGCTCAGAAAGTTAATAACCAGTTCTCCTGAAATGATGCGAACTGGCTGAATCCCACCAGTGGAAGGAAAGAAGGAAGAGGATGGGGGGAGGGAGAGAGAAAAGAAGGAAGGGAAGGAAGGAAGGAAGGAAGGAAGGAAGGAAGGAAGGAAGGAAGGAAGGAAGGAAGGAAGGAAGGAACAAACACAGCGGTGGGATTCAAATAATTTAACAACCGGTTCTCTCTCCTAATGATTTCTTCCAACAACCAGTTCACCGAATGGTTCAGAAAGTAAACAACTGGTTCTTCTGAAATGGTGCAAACTGGCTGAATCCCACCACTGAATACACCTTAAGTTCAGTAAATGATCGGTAGACTAGCCAAGTTGCAGAACAATTATTCCAATTTCTTCTTTACAAATATTTTTAAAAGACTGTTTCATTGGACATTGTCAGTAGTAGGTTCTATAAAGTTTGCAAGCTATCTAAAATGTTTCCATTGTTAAAGCATAATTCTAGAATTTGTATTATAATATAACTGCATGTCCATCCACATTTGTGTGGTGTAAAAAAAAGTCAAGATAGCAGCCAGTCCCACCCTTTTTAAGTCTCATGATGATCTCCAGATTGTGGACATCATCTTAACTTTTTTTGCCTTCCTGCGCCCCCCCCCCCCGATGTACTGTCCACTAGCACTGCAGGGGCAGTTCTTGTTGATCTGATGAAAATTCTCTGCCAAAGTCTTCCAAACAGATTCACAGAGATTTCCAGAGTTTAAAAAATATTTTTCAAAAATGTTATTAATACAAAAGAAAAGATTTTCTTGAAAAAAAGATACAACTGCTTCAAAGGTTTCTGTTTTTAAAAAACGGTCAAGGATCTCCCTGCCCAGTTGTCTGACTTTAGTGGGCGCTGCTCGTCTCCACTTCTTAGCTGAGGGAGCTATGTTGACTGAAGCCCCACCCCCATGTGCTCACCCGATCATCATGATTGTAGACCAAGGCACATGGTACAATGTTACCTTCCCGTCGAAGTGCTAATTGCATTTGCATGCTTTCAAACTACCAGGTGGGCAGGAGAAAGGTTATTGATGGGCTTCTAATTTGCAAAAAACAAGCAAAGAAAAATCAAGTTGTATGACAGGTGTATGAAGAGCCTGGTAAATAAACCAATGCATGAGGATGAATCGAAAATAGGTAACACTGCAATATTTAAAACTTGCAGACATACAATATATGCCCTATTGCCGAGATAGAGTCGTGGTGGCGCAGTGGTTAGAATGCAGTATTGCAGGCTAATTCTGCTTGTTGCCAGCACTTCGGCAGTTTGATTCTCACCAGCACAAGGTTGACTCAGCCTTCCATCCTTCCGAGGTTGGTAAAATGACAAGGACTCAGATTGTTGGGGGCAATATCAGAGGTAGGTTTCTGCCGGTTCACCCCAAATTGGACAAACCAATAGTGGCGGTGGGAGGCTCCACCCATCTGCCCAGATGCTTCTGCGCATGCGTAGAAGCATCGCACAAGCGTGGGAGTGCGTGCACACGAACGAACCGGTAGTAAAATAAATTGAAACCCACCACTGGGCAAGATGCTGACTTTGTAAACTGCTTAGAGATGACTGTGAAGTGCTATAAAGCGGTATATAAGTCTAAGTGCTATTGCAGCGATGGCTAACCCTTTTGTCTTCCCGTGCCGAAAGTGTGTGTGTGTGTGTGTGACAGCACGCTCGCGCATGCCCACACCCATAACGCAATGCACGTGTGACACCACCCCCCTGTGTTCCCCACCACCTGTGCATGCAATCCCTTCCGCTCCTCCGTGCACGGGCACACGTCTTCCACATGTGCGGCAGAGACCTGAAAATCAGCTGGTTGGTGGGAGACGCACGTACATGCGCAGTGGAGCTGACCTGTGGTGATGGCTTATGTGCCCACAGAGAGGGATCCATGTGCCACCTGTGGCAGGTGTGCCATAGTTTTGCCATCACAGCGCTATTGCTATATTCCTCTAACAATTGTGATCAAATCCAGGCCAGCCTTCCCTACCAGTGTCTGCCATATGACCTCACTTTCCCCTTACCCTCAGCCAACAAGGATGCTTGCTGGAAATGAAGTCACCATGATCAAACATTTCTAATAGACTCCAAATTAATAAGCTTGTGTCCGTAGTGGGAAAGAGGCTGCTATTTGCCCGCTAAGTTGGAAGCAAGAACTTTTAGAAAATTACTTTGAAACCTTTTGAAAATAAGACTTTCATGGGGATGGTGATCATGTCCATGGTGGAGAAGTTCCAGGAACAGACTGGCTTTATGAAAGCATTAACCCTTCCTACGGGAAGACACACACGGCAGGATGAAAGCAGCAGGAGCAGTTTGGTAATACAGGTCTTTTTCTGATGAAACACGGGAAGCCTCCCACCCAGCCATCACGATGGCAAGGTGACCATTTGCCTCTTTCTCTTCTCTTTGGTCATGACCGCATCGTAATAGCCTTGGAATTTGATACAGAAGAATGGAATTGGGATGATGATGGTCAGGATGCCACATAGGGCTGTGCAGGCTCCAATCATTTTGCCAACTGGAGAGTGGGGTACCACGTCTCCATAACCAACTGTTGTCAAGGTGACCACCGCCCACCAGAAAGCTGAGCCGATATCCAGGAAAGGTGTGTATGCGTTGTCTTCAATGATGTCTACAAAATAACAGAGTGAGCCAAAGAAAAGGATTTCGAAGAGTAGAACCACGAGGAGCAGGAGGATCTCCCTGATGAGGGCCCTGGAGGTATAGGACAAGACTCTTAGCATCAAAGGGGTCTCCACCAGCTTGAGGACCTTCAAGAGTTTGAAGAAGTACAAGGCACGCAAGAAGTCCAGCCAGAATACAAAACCCGGATGGCTTTCGGGATGCCTATACCAGGAAAGTTCAATGTAAACGGGGAAGAAGGAGAGAAAGTCGGCTGCATTCAGTGGGCTTTGAAGGAATTCCTTCTTCCTTGGGCAGGAAAGGAGTCGAGAAAAGAATTCAAGCATGAACCAGAGGACGCAGAAAAGTTCCGTGAGAAGGAGGTAAGGGGTCTTGGTGTTAAAGGGACTGTCGGCTTCAGTGTGAAGGTGTGAAGCAAGGCTGGTCTGGTTTTCCAGGATGTAAAAAGGCAAAAAATGGGTGTCTTCAAAAGCTTTGGCAATAAAAAGGCAGCATACTCCTATATTGAAGAATAGACACACAGCAGCCAAGCCCTGTTGGGGAGGGGAGAAAGAGGGGAGGTCAGCAGGATGGATGGATTGCTTTATCAATCAAAGGTATACACCCGGTCTCTGACCCTGCATATCAAGGTGGCTGTGCAAATATCCTGTGCAAAATGCCAGCAGTGCAAGTGAGTTCAGTTAAAGAGGCTCAGCTTTTAGCACACGGATCACCTCTCTGAATCCAGGGCATCAGAGTGAACTGTCTGAAACTAGAGCCTCGGGGGCAAAATGACATAGTCATTTCGTGGTAGTATTCAGCATGTTCTGACCAGTTCTGGAGAACAGATAGTGGAAATTTTGAGAAGTTCGGAGAACCGGTAAATCCCACCTCTGACTGGCCACACCGCATCTATTCTCTGCCTCCCGAGTCTCAGCTGATCAGGAGGGAATGGGGATTTTGCAGTATCCTTCACCTGGAGTGGGGAGGGAATGGGGATTTTGCAATAAACTTCCCCTGGCGTGGGGAGGGAAAGGAGATTTTACAGTATCCTTTCCCCAGGAGTGTGGTGGGAATGGATATTTTACAGCATTCTTCCCCTGGAGTGGGGAGGGAATGGGGATTTTGCAGTAACCTTCCCCTGGAGTGTGGTGGGAATGGAGATTTTGCAGGGTCCTTCCCCTGGAACGGGGAGGGAATGGGGATTTTGCAGTATCCTTCCCCTGCCATGCCCACCAAGCCACACCCAGAACCAGTAGTAAAAACAATTTGAATCCCATCACTGAAATGACCCCTCATTTTCTTAAAATGCATTCTTATTCAACCTCCGTCTGCTTGAGAAAACAGCCCTTGCAAAGAGAAGAGGATTTTAGAGAAATCGCCCAGGTTGGCTGGTGGGGCTCCTGTACATACCTGAGGCTAGCTGGCCAAATGTGGGTCTGAATAGTTGATCTTTCAGAGGACAAACCTCTCTCTAACATCTGGTTCTCCCCACTCCCCCTTCTATCTATTCCCATCCATAAGCTCAGGAACAGCCTCCTCCCAGGTACTCCCTGGAGAATATCTCCTTCCCCTCCAAAAATTCAGGGAGGGGAATGTCTGCCCAATTTCTCTGCTCATGAACTTGGGGAAGAATTGTTTGTGTGTGGGGGGGAGGGGGAGAATCCCATCTCTGGCCAGCTTTGTCTGAGCTAGAGGAGGAGACTGGAGGACGCTGGAGGACGCTGGAGGCTGTTTCAATGCTGCATCCTGAATAGGTTGATTTCCACCCCATGGGGAGCTAATCAAATAGCCATTCTTACTTTTACTACTATTATAATGAGCAGCAAGATTTATACTTGATGTGCCATGCTCTTCATCCCAACAATCCTGAAGGTATTCTCTTATAACGCCTGAGAGAAACGGACCTCAAAATGAATAAACTGCCCTTCAGCTGATCCTCAGCCTGTCCTGCAGGTCCAGGAAACTCAACCAAATGGCTGCCCTCCAGCTGCTCTTGCACTCTCTTAACAGCAACAGAGTGGGAAGGGACCTTGGAGGTCATCTAGTCCAACCCCCTCTGATGCAGGAGACCTGTATGAGGGATTTGAGCCACCAAATTGCCAACCTTTATGATCGACAAGCTCAGGATCTTAGCCACTGAGCCCTGCAGGGAGACAAGGGTTCAGCACAGTTCTGAAAGAGTGACCAGCCGCTTCATGCTAACAAAACGGGCGGGTGCCTTTGGCTCGGCCTTGGGTTATGGCCCCTGAAGAGACCGAGAAAAACACTGAGGCAAGACTGCAAGGAGCACATGCTGCCCCCCCCAAACCGTAGTTGACCTTTGCACTTAAACTGGAGAAGGGCTTCTCAAACATGGTCCAGATTCTGGTCCTCCATCGGCCCCTCCAGGCACTTTGGTTCCTTCCTGCCTGGTCCAGGAGCCCAACCACCGCTTGGTCTTCCTCCCGGAGGCCGTACTCTTCTTTTTGCCTCTCAGCGATGGCCAATTTCTGCCAGCAGCAGGGTGCCAGGGGGGCATTGCTGAGACCCCAGAAGGCCAGCTCCTCATCCAGGGCCGACTTGCAGGTCAGGTCAGGGCAGTGCAGCTCTTTGGTTCTGTAGTAGTTGAGCACCTCCTCAAAGAGGCAGGAACTTCTGTCAAAGAAGAACTCCTTGGTGTCCGGGTCGTAGTCGAAAGTGGTGGCTGCCTGGGGCTCCGTCAGGCGGCATAGCCTGGTGCCAGGGAAAGCCTGGAGGGTGCTGGCATAGGTCTCAAACCGGAGACCCCCAATGTTCAAGGAGATCTTTTCCTCCAATGGTTTCATCTCTTGCAACTGGCTGCCAAGAACAGGAAAAGGTCTGTCGTCATAATCATCAACATCATCATCATCATCATCATCAAGAACAGTGATGGCAAACCTTTTTGGCACCAAGTGCCCAAAATGGAATATGCTTACATGCGTGTCGGAGCACTGGAAACTTGAAGAACAGCTGGTTGACGTGCACATGCCTGTTTTTGGCCGTTTTTAGGGCCATTTTCAGGCTGTTTTCAGGCCATTTTGGCCCAGAAAAAGGCCCAAAAATGTCCTGAAAATGTCCTGAATACAGGCCCAAAAAAGGGTCTTTTTTTGCCATATTGTGCCATTTTTGGAGCCGTTTTCAGGCCATTTTCCAGCCCTCTGGTGCCCACAAAAACCAGCTGCCAAAAACCAGAAGAGGAGCTGGTGATGGCGCACGTGACCACAGAGCATGCCATAGGTTTGCCATCACAGATCTAGAACATTCATCCAGGAGATAGCAGAGGCTTCATTATCCAGTGATTTGGCTGTAGCTAGGAATCATGGAGGTACTATTAACATTATTCTTACTATTATTAAGAGCCCAACTCTTTTAATACTGTTTCAGAAGAAAAGTGTGGGGAGACTGGAGATTTTACAATATCCTTTCCCCTGGAGTCAGGATGGAATGGAGATTTTGCAGTATCCGTCCCCTGGAGTGGGAAGGGAATTGGGATTTTGCAGTATCCTTCCCCTGGAGTCAGGAGGGAATGGAGATTTTGCAGTATCCTTCCCCAGGAGTGTGGAGGGAATGGGGATTTTATAGTAACCTTCCCTAGAGTGGGGAGGAAATGGAGATTTTACAGTATCCTTCCCCTACCATGGCTATGAAGCCATGCCATGCCCACCAAGCCACACCCACAGAACCAGTAGTAAAAAAAATTGAATTCCACCACTGATATTACTTCCTTCCAATATTTCCTAGTTAAGGAGGGACTTCTGTGGATCACAGTCACACTGTTTCTCCAAACATTTAGAAAAAAGAGGTTGTCCACCAGAGACTAAGGGACAAGCTCTCAAATACTTCCTTCATACTTCATCCTTCATTAGTATAATTTTTTCTGGCTGTTTCTTGACCATTGAAAACAGTGCCCCAGAAGTACGTAATAAAATATCAAAAGAAGTATTACATTTAACTCATTCATTTTAGCACCTTAGATTTTTTTTTTTAAAGTTAAATCATCTGATTCTTTCAAATACCTGACCATCCTTTGGATGGTTCCTCCCAGCTCTGGAGCCCAAAGTAATTAACACAGTAATTTTCTCAGAAAGATCCAGGCTGAACCAGGGGTGAAATTCAAAATTTTTTACTACCAGTTCTGTGGGCGTGAATTGGTGGGCGTGGCATGCCTTGATGGGCATGGTAGTGGAAGGATAGTGCAAAATCCACATTCCCTCCCCACTTGAGGGGCCAGCCAGAAGGATTTGATTTGATTTGATTTGATTGTATTTCTATGCCGCCCTATTCCCAGAGGGACTCAGGGCGGCTCACAAACCAAGTAAGGGGGGGGGGGATACAAACAGGAAGAAAGACAACAGACAAACAACAACAACAATTTAAAAACAATCAACAGCCACACAATTCGAGCGGGGACGGGAACTCATCAGCCCCAGGCCTGTCGGAACAGCCAGATTTTAAGGGCTTTGCGGAAAGCCTGGAGGGTGGTGAGGGTCTGGATCTCCACGGGGAGCTCGTTCCAGAGAGCCGGGGCAGCCACAGAGAAG